GAAGGAAGGAAGTAAGGAAGGAAGGAAGGAAGGAAGGAAGGAAGGAAGGAAGGAAGGAAGGAAGGAAGGAAGGAAGGAAGGAAGGAAGGAAGGCTGGCTTCATGGTGAGAGGTGGAGACTGGGAGATGCTCTCTTGTGCTGCCCCTGCCATCAGACGGGGCATGGCAGGTGCAGAGTTTGCAAAGGTCTCTGCTTCTGGAACACCTCATCCTGTCCTTCGCTGACCTCCTGCTACTGTCACCCGCTCTGCCAGGAACTGTGGGGAGGGCCAACCACCCTGGCTTGCAGTCCCCAAGGAGGGAGGATGAGCTGGTTCCTGCCTGGAGCCAGCCAGCCCAGTCCAGGACAGGTCTTGGGAAACCTCCAATGTCATCACTTAAGGTCAGAAATTCTTAGGACTAAGTCTTGAACTGATGAGTGGCTTCTCTGGGCTGCGGGTATGTGGGCCCATGAGTGGAAACCACATTCTTGAGCTATAATGAGAAAATGAACTTCCTCATACATGAGCTCCAGAGCCTTTCCTGAAAGCCTGTTGCAGAAGGCGGAGAAGGCGAGAGTTACCAGTCGGAGGACAGCAAGTGTTTAATTCTTACTTCTGCCCACAGTGGCTCTGGGATACTGGGGTCATTCTGAACCTGGGTGGAGGCTTCCCTACAGACCAGGGTCAGGAAGGTCCCCCCGCCCCACCTTTTCCCTGTGAGTCTCCATGTGTAGGACCCAGAAGCCCTGCAGGGTCTTCTCATCCCTGGCATCACAGGTAGAGACAGAAAATGCCCCTGTATCCTCATGAGGGCAATAACCCCTCTCGGTTGGGCGGCTGGTTGACAGACGACTTTCAGCATACTCTCTCATCTGGTCTGGGCTGAGTTCAAGCCCAGCTGCACCACAGAGCAGTCAAGTGACTGTGGGCAAGCTGTCACCTCTCTGAGCCTCGATTTCATCACCTATAAAATGGAGATAACAGTACCACTAAGCACAGCATGAACTATGGTAAAGCTTATCCTAATTTGTAAACTGTAAAGGGCTGTTCCAGGGTAGTTGTGATTGGATTTACATAGGACATCTTCAAAGCAGTGGCCATATATGTTTTGTTTCCTGCTATGTTCCTAAAGTCTCGCAGAATACGTGGTACAGGGAAGGAGTTTTATAATGCTCGCTGATTGATTGCCTGGCCGTTATCTAACAGAAAAGGAGAGTGAGTCATGGGGGAGACAAGATCAGAATCTGGTCACCCTGATGCCAAGAGCACCCAGGAGGGAGGGAGAGAGAAGGACAAGCAAAGACAAGACAGACAGCGGTACTTGCATCACTCTCCAGGGAGGGAGCGTGAATATTAACTGCTCTGCAAGCTGGTTTGTCTGTAATTAATTCTCACTGAATCGACTCGGTCCCGGTGGGCGGCATGGCCATCACCAACATGACTCATTTCAAAAGCTGGAACATAATCGGAATTGCCACAAATATCCGTTCTTAAAATCTGTGCACCGGCTGGGAGCGCAGAGCGCCGGCCACGCCATCCACCGCTCCCTGCACGGTTTCTGCCGTCCCGAATATTCTGGCCCGTTGTTGCACCTGGGGGGTCCTGGCATCCATCTGAGAGGAAGGAAGGAGGTAGAAAGATACCCTGCCCTCATCTCCCCTTATTCATTCGACAAATGTTCTGAGCACCTGCTCTGCACCAAGCCCCGAGGAGAGTGTGGGAGCAGGAGAGATGCCCTCAAAGAGTTTGCAATCTCGGGGGAAAAAGACGGGTAAAAAGATGATTTGAACACAGGGGCGTAAGTGTCATCATGAAGAAGAGCACGGGCCCATGGCAAAGCAGGGGAGGAGGACCTGGCTTAGTGCAGGGAAAGCCTGCCAAGGGGGTGACCGCATGAGACGAATGGAGTGTTCCAGGCAGAGGGGACAGCATGTGCAAAGGCCCTGAAGTGGAAAGGAACTGAGAGTTTAAGTATGGTTTGGCTGGAGTGTGTGCACCCCTGCAAGAGGTACACAGGACTGGAAGACGATGCTGCTGGAGGGTCAGGCAGGGGACCACCCTACAGGGTCCTGCACTTCCCCAGCTCTTTGTGGAGTCCCTTCTCCAACCTCATAGGGCTCCCCAAGAGGCCTGAAGAACACATATAAGAACTTCTCTACCTGGAGAGGTATCTCAGTGTGACTTTGGGCAAGTCACTGCACCTCCAAGGACCTCAATTTCATCCTCTGCAAAATGGGAATACAAATACCTTCTTCACAGGGTTTGTGCAGACTGCCTTCCGTTGTGTTTTAGGATTGTTTCTGTGTCTTCCCTCTCCCCTAGACTCTGTATCAAGATGGTCAACAAATAACAGCATTTA